TTAACTATTTTTAATAAGTAAGAAGTATACTCTTAGTAACGTTTTTAAAAAATATCTTTTTTAAATTTATATTACTAAATTCTTAACCCTAAAAGTACTATATCCCTTTATAATAAGCTAAAGAATATAGTATAGCTTATTTTATTATAACTAACTTTATTTAAAAAAAAGCTAGTTAGTTAGTTAAGCTCGTATTATTTATAATAACTAAGGCGTTAATAATAAAAAGCGAGGCCGCTTATTTAAAAATAAAAATAAGTCGATACTAACTAAACTTATAAAAAAAATAAGTTAACTAAATTAAAACTAAATATTAAGCTTATTTTAATAATAAATAAAAAGCTAGTTTAGCGTTCTTAATAAAAAGAAAATAATAGGGAATTATATAAATAAACGGCTAATATAGCTTAGTATTTAAAAAAAATAGAGCTAATAAAAAGTAGTTTATAATAATAATAAATTATTATAACTATATTATAAAAAGTAATTAAGTAAACGTTATTATAGTTTATTTTTTATATATTTTAAATATATAATATAAAAAGCCTTATTTATTTAAGATTTATAAAAGTTTAGATTACTAACTTATTTAAAATTTATAAATTTTAAATAAGTAATATAGTAGTTCTAAATAAGTATAAGTATTATAATAATATTTCTATTTTTAAAAATTTTAAACTAGAGCTTAGGTTAGAGAGGATAGTAAGAATAGCTATATTAATATAATTACTTTTATTATTTTTATAAAAAAGTACTATTTTTTAAACTAATTAAAAATAAAGAATATTATACGTCCCTAAGAGCTATATATTTATATTAATTCGTTATATATCCTTATTAGTTTTTAAAAATATTTATAGCTTTTTTTTTATAATATAATAAATAACTATTATTATTAAAGAATTTTCTTTAAAAGAGTTCGAATTACTCTAGGGCTTATTTTTTAAAAAAAGTTATTACGTAAATAATTCGTTTAATTTTATTATAAAAATTAGTAATATAAAACGTTTAATAAGTTTTAATTTAAATTAAAAATCCCTTAAGACGTTTAATAATTATATTAAAAATAATAAGTATATTAAACTTAAGTTTTTTTTATTTATTTATAAGAGTTTTAATAATATTAATAATAGCTTAGAGAGTTTTAATTTTTTATTTTAAATCGTTTACTTTTTATTTTTAATTCCTAAGTTAATTATAGTTTCGTTAATTATATTTTAAAAAGTAATAACATATTTATTATATCTAATTAAAAATATAACTATTTAAGTAGAGTTATTATTAAAAAGCTTTGCGAGTTTTTTATTTTACTTATTCTTTTATTTAATAATACGTCGTATTTTTTTATAATTTACTTTTTTAAAAACTATATTATTATTAAAATTATAAATAACGTTAAGTATTTTATTATCCTTAGCCTTAGCTAGTTTATTAATTAAGTTAATAAGTTTTTTAAAATTAAATAAAAAAATACTTAAAGTTTTAAAAAATATCGTCGTTTTTGTTTATTATTTAGTAAGTTTTATAAAGTTAACTTATTAAATAAGAGTAATTAAAATATTATAACTAGCTAATTATAATATGTATATTAATAAAGACTAAGGCTACGAGTACTAAGTAAATAGTATTATAATTATAAATAGCTTTTTTAAAATTATATTTATAAATTATAAAATAAATAAAGCTTTAGTAATTAATTATAACCTTATTAAAAGGAGTTTTTAATAAGAATAACTAAAAATAATCGTAAGATTTAATACTAAGTTAATTATTAAAAAGCTATAAAAAGTCTATTCTTAAGCCTAGATTAAGTTTATATTATATATAAGTCCGCTTATAAATATATTTTTTATTAATAATTACTTTTATTTATTAAGTAATTACTTAATAAATACTAATAAGTAATTACTTAAAGTAATTATAATAATTATTTTATTACGTAATTACTACTTTTTATTTATATATAACTTATTTATAATTCTTTTATTTTATAAGAGTTACTTTATATTTTTATATTTTTATATATATAATATATTATAACTATTATAAGTTTATAGGGCGGGTTTTAATTTTAATTATATATATTAAGTTATAATAGTTATTATTAAAGTTTAAAAAGAGAATAAGTAGCTATTACGTTATTATTTAAACTTTAAATATAATTAATATAATTATAGCCTTAGTTTTAAAGCTTTTATATACTTTTTATTTATTTTTATATTCTGCTTTTATTAACTACTCGAGTAGTTCTTAATATTAACTATATAGTATTAATATACGATATTAATAAATATTTATATTATTTTAGTAAATTTTATATACTTTTTATATTATAAACTTATTAAAGTAGTTAAGGATATTATTAAAATTATAAATTAATAAGTTAGGATTTAGGCTCGTAATATACGTATTATTATTTAAAAATAGTTTTAAAATTTTTATTTACTTAGTAAAATATTTATAACGCTAAGGCTTATATAAATTAAGAGAAACTAGCTAAATAATTATTAATTATAATATTAATTAATTATTAATAATAATAATATAATAAGACTATATATATATATATATATTATTTATTATAATAATAAATATATATATTATTATAGAATATTAATATTTTAATTATAAATAACTAATAAATTATATTAAATATATAATTATATAATAAGCTTATAATTTATTAAAATAAGTTAATAATTTATTATTTTATTATTTATTAATTAATTTATATTTCTAAATATTGTAGAAATTAGAAAGATAAAAATATTTAAAAAGTATTTAAAACATATTAAGGAAATATTTAGGAAATTTTTTAGAAACTTTTTAAAATGTTTTAAAAAATTCTTAACAAACTTTTGGGAAATGTTTAGGAAATTTTTAGGAAATTTTTAGGAAATATTTAGGAAATGTTTAGGAAATATTTAGGAAAATTTTAGGAAAATTTTGGGAAATTTTTAGGAAATTTTGAGGAAATTTTTAGGAAATTTTTAGGAAATTTTTAGGAAATTTTTAGGAAATATTTACGAGTAATATATTATCTACTTAGCATTCATAGCCTCAACCTCTATTTATATATTTACTACGAATATTTATTTATAATACTACGGCATTCTTAATTTATATAGTACTACCTTAAAGAAGTAGGTAAAACACTTCTATTCTAATAAACTTTTTATTTATAAACTTCCCTAGATTAGTTATTCCCCATTATCCCTTAACCCTTAATTATACCTTTTACCTATTTATATTCTTAATAAAAATCTAAGTAGAAGTAGCGGGGTTTATTTAGGAATCCGTCTTATCGTTATTAAAATTATTAGCGGGGGTAAGCTAGACCGGCTTACCCTTAACTACTTTACTATTCCGGCCTATTTACTTAGGGGTTTTAAAAATTTCTAAAAATAATTAATATTAAGTATAACGATATATAGGTATTAATAAAGTAACGTACCGGAAATATCTTCGTTTAGTACGAGTTTAGGGTAACAGTACTTATAAAATACTAAGTAAGTTAGCTTATATATATTAGGGGGAGGGTAGGTTATAAAATCCGGTTAAAAAGAGCGTTAATTAAAGAATAAGTTATACTTATTATAGCTAATAACGTCTTATAATTTATAGACCTTATAGCTCTCCTCGGGGCCGAGCTAGACGTTTATCTTTATCCGGGTAACGTCCTATTAAAAATAGTTAGTCTTATAAACTAAAAATATTTTAGAAATATTTTTATTTATAGTACCGTCCTCTTTAAAAAGGATAGTAAATAACGCCTTATTATTTATAATAGCCTTAGGCTTTTAGGGGGTATTTAGGGGCGTATCTTAGCCCTTCGTAAGTAATATTATTTTAGTATAATATCTTATAAAAAACTATTAATAAGGCTAAAAATATTAACGTAGAATAAGAAGTAATTTATAAGTAACCTCGAGGTCAATAGTAGTTAAAAAGGATCCCTTATAAAAAATCGTAAAGTTAATATAATAACCCTTTTCGAAATACTTTTTAAGCGCACCGAGAGACGACTAGTAGTAGCTATTAAAGTAAAGGCTATTAGCCTCTAAATAATAGTAATAAAGTTCTCTTAATAATAAAATTACTTAACCTTACTATTATAAAAATAAGTAAATAAATCGCGTATTTAATTATAATAATAAGGATAAAACTTATACTATTAGTTTTAAATATAGGGAGATTCTAAGGCCGGCCCCTCTTATTATTAATATAGGATTTAAAACTATCGTTATCGTAATAATAAAAAGGTATTATAGAATTAATTTAGAAATATTTCTAATTAATTATTAATAAATTTTAAGTACGATAATAAGTTTTATAATAAAAATTTCTAATAAAAGTCGTAACGAAGGGTAAAAGTTTAAAAAAAGGGACGCGACTTAGCTAGGGTAAAAAAAAAGTATAAGTCGGAATTATTTTTTATAGAGCGGACCTTAATTAAGTAATAGTACCCTAATTAGTTATAATTTATTTCCAAAATATTTCTAGCCCGAGTACCTTAAAAAAAAAAAAACGAAGTCCGATTAGTTAAATTTAGCCGGGATCCACTAATATCTAAGCACCTATTATTATACACGGGACTCTTACCTTAACTAGGGGGGGTTATTATTAGTTTATATATAGACTCTTCTCATGGACACCCCGGTTGTGCCATGTTAAGGGGGGCAGCAAAAGTACGAGGTCGCTTGGGGGTTTTAGCGGACGATCTGGCGCAAAGCCAATTTATTCGTGTCACTCACAAAATTCCAGGGGAAGCAGAAAGAGTGGATGCGCTCAACTAAGGTTAATCATGACAGAGACTCTCAAACTGTGTCTTAATAACTTTTCTTAAGTATAAGCAGACCTACCTGATCCTGGGAACTCTCTCTAGTTTCACTCGAACTGTCAGTCAACTCTACGAATCACTGTGTGATTCTTACATTCTTTTGTCTCTCGCTGCTTACTTCCATTCCATTCGTTACCCATTCGTGTGCCCCATCTCAACCATGTTCAACAACCTCGTGTGGGCGAGTCTCGCGACTTCGCTGCTGGTCCAGCCCCTGAGCGCGGGCCTCATCCCGGTCCGCCGGCAGTCCACCTCCACCACCTTCAAGTCCACCGGCAACCCGATCCTCGCCGATGGTTCCGTCTACTCCGCCGACCCGGCGCCGCTCGTCGTCAATGACACCCTCTACATCCTCTCCGGCCGCGACGAGGCCGGCCCCAACGAGAACGGCTTTGTCATGAACGAATGGCAAATCTTTGAGGCCAAGAATCCGGATCCGGCCGGCGCTGACTGGACCCTCCACCGCGACGTTGCCCAGCCCAACTCAATCTTTTCCTGGGCCGCCCAGGGCACCGCCTACGCCAGTCAGATTGTTCAGGGCCCGGATGGCAAGTTCTACTTGTACAGTCCCGTCACCCAAAAGTCCACCTCCGCGTCGGACCCCTTCGCCATCGGCGTCGCCGTCTCTGACAGCCCTCTCGGCCCCTTCAAGGACGCCCACCCGAGCGGTCCCATCATCTCCCAGACGGTCCCCTCCCCCGGCAACAACATCCAGAACATTGACCCGACCGTCCTCGTCGACAATGGCAAGGTCTACATCTACTTCGGCACCTTCGGCTACCTCAAGGGCTACGAGCTGGACACCGACATGGTGACAATCAAGGGCTCCGTCGTCGACGTCGACTCCCTCACCGGCTTCTTCGAGGCCCCCTGGCTCATGAAGCGCAACAGCACCTACTACATGCTCTACGCCGCCAACAACGCCGGCGCAGACTCCCCCTGCACGCCCACGAGCTACCACGCCTGCCTCGCCTACGGCACCGCCGAGTCCCCCCTCGGCCCCTGGACCTTCCGCGGCGTCTTCGTCGACATCGTCTCCTCCACCACCTCCCACCCGGGCGCCTACCAGCTCTCCAACGGCGAATGGGGTCTGGCCTACCACACCCGCGACGCCGAGGGCGGCACGCACTTCCGCCGCTCCGTCGCCATCGACAAGATCACCTGGGATGACTCGGCCTCCCCGCCGGCCATTAACAAGATGGTCCAGACCAAGCGCGCCGCCGCCGCCGCCGAGCCGACGCGCAACATCGCGCCCAAGGCCGTCGCTTCGTCGGCGGGCGAGACCCCCATCCAGTACTGGATCAAGTCCATCAACGACGGCCGCGTCGAGGAGGCGCCCCTGCCGCCTGACTACTGGTCCTCGTACAACGCCGAGCAATCCCCCGAGACGAGCACCCTTACCTTGACCTGGAACAGCACCGTCGAGCTCAACGGCGTCGCGCTGGCGCTGTTTGCTGATCAGGATGCCGGTGCCAATGTGGGTGTCGCGCCGCCCAAGTCGTGGACGGTCGAGTACCAGGACGGCACCTCGTGGAAGGCTGTCTCTGCCACGTCGTTCCCGACAGATGTCTCGGATACGCCCAAGGAGGTCAGCTTCACGACTGTTTCGACCAAGGCCTTGAGGGCTGTTTTGACCGCCTCTGGAAGCGGTGGGCAGTTTGCCGGTGTCGCTGTCAAGGAGTTCTTTGCGTATGCGCCTACCGCTGCGTGAAGATCTGCTAGGTGGCGGCGTTTTCGGGACCATTAGTAGGAGATCCGTTTCCTATTGATACCAACTTGAACCTTCTTGATGTCCATACTTTGAAAGATGTATACAGTCTTGTGTAAGATATGTAAATGAGTCAAATATCAAGTGCCATCTTGGACACATTTTCATCAAAGTGAATCTTCGTTGCTACGTCTTTGTGAGATGGGTCAACCTTTATCATCAAGCCATATACGTGCCCCCTGCTTCCAGTGTTAGTATGACTATCCAGAAAGGAGCACTATGCGGATTCTTACATGCTGGCGATCTTTGCAACTGCTTCAGAGACAGCAATGAGCGCGACCATCAACGGCTAAGATCAGTTTAGTGATTAAGGAAATGCAATAGCAGAGTTGAGGGCCAGGTGCGAGCATGACCAGACCGATGAAGGCAACTTCTCCCCTCGGTCAGATAGGTTAGACTAGCGATTTGTGAACAAACAACACAGCCGCGGCATGTCCAAGCTGCAAGCAAATGAATGTGATCTGAAATGACGAAGGAATTATTCCACGTACAATGGTTGATCGGGGTCCTTGCGAGGTGCGCAAATGTGGAACTAACACATAAAGTTGCGGGGATGCACATCGCTGGCTGCAATGAGACTCTATCTCCTCACTGCCGCAAGAGTCTGAACATGGTTGCGACTTTTGCACAAAGAATGAACGCTGATGGCTCGATAATTTATTCAAGACTCAAACATTTGACACATTGCTTTTGGCTGAAAATTCCTGTCACTCTATACAGCCTCAATGACCACCCGCACCGAATGATATGCTAGAATTCTCGACTCACGATAAAGAGGCTTAGTATCCGGATTGTTCGACCTCTTCTCCTCATTGCCTTATTTCGAATCTCTCTGGCGTGGCATTGTACAAGCGCCCAGTGGGTCGTTGAATACGTAGTTCTAAGTTTACATGTATGCGGGGAAACCCACCGGAGTCTTGGGAGTAGAAGTGCCGGCACCTGTACGCAGGAGCATGTCTAGACTGGTATTTGATTAGTCACTCCACTCTATCAAAAAGGCTCTACTAAGGTATTTCAGTTTGCCTTTGCAGGTATGTGTAGTAGTGCCAAGTCTCGTCGCACCCCGACTGTCCGAGACTGGATATGCTCATACGGATACACCCGCAGATCTGCGGCTGGATATCTATTTCGATTTTCGAAGTAATTGACAAGTACATCTCTGAGTCAAGTTCGATCCGCTAAAGAGCCACGGACAGTCTTGTCATATCGCCTCAAGTTCTAAGGACTAGAATGAGTTCCTGTAAATAATCATGCTTTCTTGTGGTACTAGGAGCAAATCCATTCTTCCATAGCTGGTTTCAAGACGCCTTATCATCAAATGGGAGCATTTACTAGCTAGCTTAACACGCGTGACATACGGCCGGTACAGACTACTGGCAGTGACTCTGTAGCAACCTCAACTATTGCGGGGCTTCCCCGAGAATCCGTCAACATACGACCCGGCCCGCAATTACCTACCGGGGGGCGGCCCGGCCACTGGTGATGGGCAGTTCTCCGTGCCCAGGGTGCAAGGGATACCCGCTGCGGCGGACGTATCAGCAGCCATCACACGCGGCCACCGCTCTGCAATGGTACGAACATAATGTTACCATCGCTGACAGCTTGGGTCCCTACTCCTTCTTCCCTCGAATGGCCGCACAATATTCCAGGGTCTTGGTGCGTCTAGAGCGACTCTAGAATCAAGCAACCCTTGCCAATGCGTACGACGTAAGCAGAAAATGGAGGTCAAGACCGTTAGAGTACCCACTCGTTTGAGGCTCACTGGTCCGTTGGTGTAATTCATTTGCCGTTCGATCCATTTTCGGAACAAGGTCGGCGGCCGCCGCGGTGGAAATCCTGCTTGCCAAAGTCCCGATCCGAGAATCCTGGTGGAGATGAGGAGCCTTATCGGACTTCGTTTTTTCTGTCATTGGGACATTGGTAACACCCACTTGTGACACTTGAGGGATCGCTCACAAGGTGGGTTTTGCCTGCATTTCTCTCAGAAGTCGGCTACATAAGGCCCCAAGCACGCCCGACGTTGTCAGCGCTAGCTGACTTGCGAGATGGTGAAGACGCTTGAGTTGCGTTGCTGGTGATAAGTTCAAATCTGTACCCCCAAAACTTCCTCAATTCCAACAACCCGATTGGGGCGCGACATCAGAAACAAATTGTGAGTAAATAACTTTCCCGTTACTAGAAAGGGTGCCATTCCGCTATTCCATTCCCACGTGGGGCCGATCTGGATGGGTTTTGTCCGATGGTATTTAAGCTTCACCTCGGTTCCGAGCTGCCTGCCCTGGATCATTGAGGCTGTAATCAAGAATTCCCTCGACTTCTCAACTCCACTATCGTCGTCAAAGTCGTTGAACAATACGTCAAGAGTCGTTATTGCCAATCCGGGTTGAATGCGCTTTGATGACGTCCGCAATGTAGCTGTTAAAAATTCATTGTATATAACGAGCTGCCGGGAGCCCGCCGATTTCACCAATTTGGAAGAAAGGCTTTACACTCTACTCAGCGAATGACTTGATTCAACACAATTTACTGGTCGAATTTGAAGTTAGAAAAAACTGACACCATTTTCTAGTCGTCATGCCTTCCAAGGACTTTACGGTTCTGATCGCCGGCGGCGGGATAGCTGGCTTGACGCTGGCGAACCTGCTCGAGCGCGTGGGGATCAACTATCTCATTCTCGAGGGGTATCGAGAGATGGCCCCCCAGGTGGGCGCAAGTATCGGCATTTTGCCCAATGGTTCTCGTGTTCTCGACCAGATTGGACTCTACGATGAGATCAGGAAACTCATCGATGAGCCTCTTTACAAGATGTCTCTTCGCGACTCCAAGGGCAACCCGACGAGTGAGTACTGTGGCGTAGGCCAGCAGATCAAGCAGCGGTGAGTAAAAGCATGTTTAAGGAGTCTCAAGAAGCTTTCTCATATCAGAATACAGACACGGCTACGAAGTTGTCTTCGTGGATCGTCAAATGATTCTGGAAGTGTTGTGGAAGAATCTGAAGAACAAGGACAGGATCCTTGTCAGTAAGAAGGTTATGCAAGTCTCCATCGAGCCGTCCAAGGTGAGAGTCGAGACAAGCGACGGCCAGTCCTACTCGGGCGACATCTTGATCGGCGCCGATGGCATCCACAGCAAAGTCAGAAGCGAGATGTGGCGGCTCGCGGATAGCCTGGAGCCCGGGTATATACCTGCTTCCGAAAAGAGGGGTAAGACAGCTAATCGTTTTCTACTCTCTATTGTCGACTGACAGAAGGGTAGAATGCCTGCCGACGGTTTACAAGTGCATCTTTGGCATTTCCATCATCAAGAACTGGGAGAACGGCACGGTGCAAACCAACTTCAACAAGCACTTCTCATACCTCGTAATTGCCGGCCCTTCCAACAGGGTCTACTGGTTCCTTTTCGTCAACATGGGCTACACTCACTACGGCCCCGATCTCCCCCACTACACCAAGGAAGACGAGGCCAAGTTGGTCAAGGAGCATCAAGAGGACAAGATTAATGAGAACTTCACCTTCAGAGATCTGTACGCTGCCAAGATCTCTTCAGTTTTGACCCCACTGCCGGAGTACGTCTTCAAGAAGTGGCACTTCAACCGCATCATGACCATTGGCGACGCCGCACACAAGGTAAGAGAACCTCTACTGCTAAAGAGGCCATACAGACCTCAGTGAGCATAGTATCGAAGATCTGACCTGTCTCAGTTGGAACCAATTGCCGGACAAGGAGGCAACAGCGCCATCGAAACGGCCGCAGTGCTGGTAAACAACCTTACAGAAGCCCTCAAGCAAAACCCATCAGGCGTCACGACGGAGCAAATCCACAATGTCTTCCTAGAGACCCAGAAGAAGCGAGAACCGCGCGTCTGGCCCCTTGTTCACAATTCGCACAAGGAACAGCGTTTCGCCGCCATGGAAAGCCCTTTCTTGGAGTTCGCCGGTCGCTACCTCGTCCCAAGCTTGTCTATCGATGAGAAGGAAGGGCCCTGGAGCACGAACTTCGAGCCGGGTCACAAGCTCGACTTCTTGGACGTCCCGAAGAGGCCACGTGCGCTACCGTACCTTGACGAGCTTCCGAGCCAGAGACTCGACTCCTCTTTGCTACCTAAGCTTGTGGTAGGAGCTGTCCTTGCAGGCCTCTTGTTCCTCGCGCAGCAAGTTCTCGTCATCGCTCCCGAGGCGGCGAGTGGTGCCAGCTTTGTGGGGAAGCCTTTGAAGACGGAGTACACCGGCAATACTGCGATCGATTCTGTTCTCTCACTCCTTTCCTGGGCCTTCTCCGAGGCGACCTCTGGCCCTGACCCGAACACGAGGCTTCAATGCCTCTACTTCTTGATCAATCTCGCGCCCGTCATTTACATCTGGACAGTCGAAGGTTATCGCAATGGCAACCAGCTCTCTCTCGTATCTTGGCCATCTATCTTCACAGTATACCAGCTTGTTGGTATCGGCAATATTGCACCGCTCTACTTCCTCATCAGTCTGCATACGACCAGCAGCGAAGTCTACACTCGTCCCACAGGCCGACCAGTCCTATCGACTGTGGCGAAGGCGCTGGTTCCAGCCCTCTGTCTCGGTTACATCATTCCTACCGCCCTCATGTTCATCCAGTATGGTGACTCCGTGGCCCAGCAAAACGCTATCGCCTTTTGGCAGCCCTCTCCCGTCTACGTCTCGATTCTGACCTGGCTCTTCTCCGGCATTCTTTCGCTCGCCTCGCCTATCAAGTCACTGGACTGGGAAATCTTTGAAAAGAAGGACCAGAGCGCGCTTCAGACCGGATACACACTTACGTTCGCCGTCACCGCTATCACACATGTCTGCGCTCTCGTGTACGCTGGCTTCAACCCCTCCGTGTCCCTCTTTGAGACCTTTTTCGACCTGCCGAGCATTGCGTCCATGGGCCTGGGGCTCAACATCGGTGGATTCTGGAAGTACGACATGCTT